CACAAAAATTGCTGCAGCCAAATAAATGAGCTGCTGGAAGCGCGTGAAAATCTGGAGGAAAACATGAAACAGAGCCATGAATTATTGGATGAACTTGAAAAAGTGCTAGCGGAAGTAGATGCGCGTGACAGATCACCGGAGTTAGAAGAACTTGAAAGCATCGCCTTGTCACTGGAAGACCGTCTGCAGAGAGCTCTAGCACAAATCCAGCACACTTCATTAACGGTAAGATTCAAAAATTCCTCAATCCTGAAATTTTTATTCTTGCTGATTTTAGTTTTGTTAAAAAGGTATAAAACACCGAGGGGGAATTAAGTGTGCAAGAAGAAGTAAAATCCATCTGGCTGTTAAAAATTAGCAATGTTTTCTGATTTCCCCGAAATTACTTGAATTGTTGGAAAACTGCAGTTCAACTATTTTCGGCTCTCCAGCTATGCAGCTGACAACTTTTCCAGCCGCTCTGACCAATGCCGTTTGTAGTTTCAGTCTGCTGGTATTCCTGACGGACATTTTTTCTGACAGAAGTGTTTAGGGGCGAGTTTTTTCCGGACAATAATCTTTTGGATGTCTAAAAAGATTTCTTTCTTAAACTTGATTTTAAACAATTTTCACCCGGGGTCGTTGTAATTGGCGAGCCGTAGTCCTGTTCCGAAAAGACTGCTGATTTAATCCAGCGTTCGATATAACTGACATTCTAAGTGTCAGACGTTGACTAAACTACTGCAGTAATCATTCAAAATTTCTTAAAAAAAGGTAAGTTGTAATTTCTAGGAAATGAGTTTTTTGAATTTTCAATTTTAATTGTTTTTAAAAATTTCTAAAACATTTCACAGGCGTTTTTTTTTTAAGGCGGAACCGATATTGACCCAAATTGGTGAACAGGAAGCAGATCAACTCCGTGAAAGATTACGTTCAATTGGTGAGCAGTGGAAGCAGTACGAGGATAGAGTACGGGAGAAGAAGCGACGCTTGGATGAACGTTTTGCCGATGAGTCGGAATTAAATAACGAAATTGAACTTCTACAATTTTGGTAAGTTTCTTTGAGCAATAATTGTTGCGAGGAAAAAAAAAACCCAACAAAAACGCCCGTTGAGAAGTGAAATTTTCGGCAGTTTTCTGAAAAATTAATAATAAACATTCTTCATCTATTTTTTATTATTTCGTGAAGGAAGAGCAACTAATACTAATTTTAAATGCAGAGCTTAGTTTGTTACTTGGTTTGATTCAAACTCAGTCCATGTTTTATGCTTTGTCCTGTTGCGAAGCTGGCAAAATTTAAATTTTTTTTTTGCCATAGTGAAAGGTTTTTACCATTTTTCAGAAGGGCTGCAACTTACGCACATCGATTTATTTTGCAAAAACATTAATTTTGGATCTTTCCAAGCGAAATACATAGTAGCCCGCACCAGACTAGCCGGTGCGATCATGCGTTTTGTTCAATTCAGCCCATCGAACGATTGGCCTATTAATGATTTTCACAGCTTTGTACTTTAGTCTGTGCAAAAATAGTTCAAACATTGGAAAACAGTTAAAAATTTCACGCACCAGTATTAAAGCTGAATTCGAAGCCTTGAAGGGTGAATGTCTTTTCGTGACTCCCGAGTTAATAGTTTACCCCCCAAAATTTTCACGAGGCCGTAGGTGATACTCAAAAGCGCGGGAACGCTGAACTTGAATAGGCAGGGTCAAGCGTGGGCAGGGGGTCATTACCCTAAAATTTTAGCTTGCTAGACTCCGTGGTTCCCGAGATATTAATTTACCTGCGAAAAAATTCACGGGGCCGTGCGTGTTACGCGCAGGCACGGGAAGGCTGAATTGGAATGGGCAAGGTTGAGCGTGGGCAGGGGGTCATTACCGTAAAATTTCAGCCTGCTAGACTCCGTGGTTCCCGAAATATTAATTTATCCGTAAAAAACTTTCACGGGGCCGGGCGTGTTACCTGCGGGTACGGGAAGGCTGAATTTAAACTTGCAGGGTCACACGTGGGTAGGAAACGTTCCCCTAAATTTTCAGCTTCTTAGCTTTTATGGTTCCCGAGTTGAAAGTTGCGGACAAGTTGCTGCGGACACACACACACACAGACAACCCCGTGACAATATGCGTTTTGTACTGCTGTTACACAGCACAAAACACATAAAAAACAAAGGTTTCGACCAATTTGATGTATGAAAAAAGATGAAATTCGATTTTTTAGTGTCTTTACACTGCACTCTCTAAAAGTGTTGTTCAGCAGTGATGATTTGAAGGTGCGATGAAGCGGAAACGGAATGTGCAATTGCCATTAATCCGCTGAATTCACCGGCGCTCATCGAACTCTCAGTCAAACTCGAGGTTCACTGTCTTTCCCGTATTCTCTTTTGAAAGTTTTAAAACAATTTTTTTTTTCATTTTTGTGGAATGCTAGCGGGCATAAGGCAGCACTGGGCAGTATGTCTTCCCTGCTGAGCGTCATTAGTCTGCTTTTAAGCAGCCTACAAAAAAGATAAAAATCGACTGGGTGGCATCTTGATTCAAAAATGCTAAAATGTCGCTCCCCTCAACTTCTGTTTATCTCTCACAGACGGAGACTGTGTTTTCTCTCAGTAAAAACCAACATCGCCAATAGTCTATTTGTAAGCAACCTTCGAATGAGCTGATCTTCGACAGCTTTGCCAGGTTGTTTTCGCCTCCGATAGAGAGCCAGTGCGGAGGGAATTCTGATTAATAACTTTGCAGAAATGGCAAGTTTCGTGAAAAAGCAAGTGAGGATCTGTTTCTGGTTTAATTCTGTCCCTGGAGCTAAACTTTTATTTTAAGTTCATCAATACTGTTGAAAAAAGATTGCAAAAGATAATAACAAATCGTTAAAAAAAA